CCGAACAGTAAATGATGACCATCAATCAGTAACAGTAGTGGTTCCAACAAGGGAACCGACAGAGATCTCTGTAACAGTAACAGTAAACAGTAGTTGCTAAGGATGCCAGAATACAGTTCAGAATATAGGACATACATTCATTCAATTAACAGTATCAGTTCATAAAGCAGTACAGTTCAATTGTTCAGAAGATAATCATTTTGAACATATCTTTACACAGTTGTTACTCACATAGTTCTGGGCTACAGTAGAGCTAGAGCGCGTCCCCAGTCGCCAACCCTACACAGTTACAGATTGAACACACACTAAGCTACACAGTTGGGAAAGATAATAACTTAATCCCTAATTTGCCTCGGTGTGTTCTACATCTATATCCTCATTAAGATGTCTTAAACTAGGCGTAAGAATGCCTAGAATGGGATGAGGATGCAAAGATACACTTTAAAAGTATTTTCAGAATTTTCAGAAAACAGGGGTCACGCTCGAGCGTAGGTTACTCCGCTCGAGCGGACATGCAGACAAAGGTTTCCGCTCGAGCGTTCTGCAAAACAGTCAAAAGTGCTGGATAGGTGAAAATCACGCTCAATTGGGCGCTCGACACCCGCTCGAGCATGAGACGCAATGTCCCGCTCGAGTGTCAATTATTCCGCTCGAGCGGACTTCAAAACAGTGCAAAGTACTGGGAGCACGAATTTCACGCTCGAGCGCCAGTCATCCCGCTCGAGCGTGAGTTCAAAATCTGGAATTCCCAGATTTGAACCTCAAGCTCAACTCCAAGTTTTAAAACATAAATTTCGATCCTCTTGGGCCAATTTTCCAGAAAACATCCCAAAACTCATAGGTTAACATGATTCCAAAGCTCAATTGTAAAATCAAAGCCCAAGGTTGTTTCAAACAACTCAATTTCAAACCAATTTTCAAGAATATAATTCAAACATAACATGCATGAATTTAAACCATTTCAAAGCTTCAATTTCATGCTCTAATGAGCCAATTCTTCCAATGACAAGATGAAATCATGGACTTAAACACAATATGAACATGCATATAACATTTTACCATGAAATCAACTCACAACTCAACAATTCAAACATGCATGCATGGAATGAGCTCCAATTCAACATTATTAGACTAAGACATGACTTGGCTCCTCAATTAGACATGAACCATGCAAGAATCAACTTAAACACAACAATGAGAGGTTGAATTTCCTTACCTAAGTCTTCAATCACAAGATTAGAAGCTTAATTAGACAATTGTCCTTCAATTCTTCAAGTTCTCTAAGCCAACTCTCAAGAACACTCACTTCTCTCCCTCTCTCCCTCTTGGTTGGCAAGTCTAAGAAAGAATGGGCTGATGGAGTGTTGTAATGGTAGCATTAGAGATCAACTAAGAGGCTCATGAAAGTCCACTAGGTGGCATAATGGCAATTAAGTCCAACTCTTGTAATTTAACTCATTTTAATCCAATTTAATCATACCAAATCACATTTTAACTGAATATGCCATAAAATCACATTAATTCTAAGGATCACAAATCATCAATCAATTTCAGATTCGGCCGCCGATAAGGCCTTCAATTCACAATTTAAACACAAAGGCATGAACAGATAATCAAACAGCCAACAGATAGACATACAATTAAACAGATATACTTAATCAATTCAGTTCCAGATTTCAATCAGTCAGTTGAGTACTTCAATCAATTCAGTTACCAATCATAATCAGTCTCAGTTTAGCAGTAATTAGTGGTTAATCGGTAAATAGTGACGAGGGTTGTTACACCCTTGGGGCCTACCCTAAGTTTCAAACTCAAGCCTTATAAATCTATTCAAAGTATGCTCACCAAATCAATGTGTGACAAGCCTCAAACCATACCTTTAAGAAATTTCCACCAAAATTCTATTTCCATGAAGCTTACTTTGGCTTCAATTTCCCATTTACTCGATAATAGTTTTGAGCAACTAAATATACTACGTGAATCATAATGCGTTACCACTTAGACCCGCCAACTTTGGTGCACGGGTCCCACCTAAAAGTTAGACCAAAGTTGAAGAAAAATTATGTTTGTCCAAAACTTCAAAATCCGTTTCTAACAATTTCATCCAACCTAATCTACTAAACAAACGTAAACTCTATGTTTGTTATTAGAAATTAATAGCGAAATTGAATTAGTAGTGTAATGGGCCCACAACAATATTGTTTGTTTGAAAATTTGTCATGATCCTATGGGACTATGAAATTTTCCCTCCAAAGAGGGGACTAACAATCACAGGAGGGAGGTGACATTGAAATATAATCTCATGGCGTTGGAGATAGAAAGACTAATTCGTCATCATTTTTCAAAAATAACAAAATCATCTTTTATACAAAGAGGGATTTTACGTAATTTTAAATATTTAATCTCAACCAATTAATATTACTACAATAGTGTATACACAAATACAAATCCCATTCAACATGACAAACAAACGGTTCCTATCAAAACAAATAGATGCTTCCTGAATGAACTCCATGGGTGTAAATATGTACGCATCATTTTGATTTGGCAGACACCTAGTTATTTTAGAGTGCCAATTTAAAAAGGCCATTTAGGCCATAATTATAATAATAATAATTTTTTAAAATTTGAGACATTCAAGTATATTAAATATATTTATGTTTTGTTTGGTAAGAACAAAAGTAAAATAGACTGTGTTTTAAAATTTTATACTTGAATGTCTAAGTGTCGTTTGGTAACATTTACGTTTTCTGTTTTCTGTTTATATTTATAAAAATTTAAAAAATTCAAATAAAAACTTGTTTGGTAAAATTTTTGATTTATAAATCAGTGGTCTCAGTTTATAAATTTGGTCAAAAAATGAAAACACAAAAAATGTGTTTCCATTTTGAGTTTTCAGTTTTTTTTTTTTAACCACCCAACACTAGCCACCACCCGCTACCATTTTCCACCACCGTCTTCTGTCACCACCACCCACTCTCCACCACCACTCACCACCCACCTGCTACCACCACCCACCACCCGCCACCACCCACCTGCCACCCACTCGCTACTACCGTGGTCGATAGCATTGCTCAGCACACAATACCTTGTTAAAAAAAATAAAATAATCACACAATACCTTGTTAAAAAAAAAAAAGGGCCATGCTACATCCCCTAATTTTTTCCCCCCTAATCCTCCTAAATTTCAAACCAAGGCAAAAAAAAAAAAAAAAAATCCCAAAACAACGTCATTTTGAAAATTAAAGGAATTAGGGGGACTTTTTTAGAGGGACAAATCATTTTCCAAAAAACAATTATCTTATCACATAAATTTTAAATTTTCTATTGCACAGACCGTACCA